CATTACCCCCTCGGTCACCTCGCAGGTAGCAAGTGATTTGATTCCCAGGCTTGCCTTGCTAATCGACATCGCATACAGCGCATGTGCGCGACGCGGTCTCAAGTTGAATTCCAATAAAACCAAGGTGCCGCTGTCTTTGAGGGGGAAGGGCGCCCGGAAGGCGCACAGAGAGTTACATGACATGGATGAACCCCACATCTCATCCACACATTGGGGGGTCAAGGTGAAGGCGGTGCGTTCCCAGAAATGTTTAGGCATTGTTCTGACTGACGCACGCAACGAGGGTGTCGAGCTCACAGCGAAGAGCACGCAAGTCAAAGCTGCCTGCCGCCCCATCAAAGAAGCACTAGCTCCTCGGGAGGCCCTGTCTCTGCGGGCCAAGGTCCTGTATTCGGAGGCCTTCGGTGCGAGCAAGGGGTTCTATGCGTGTGCACTTTGGAGACCCTTCACTGTGGCTAATCGAAAAAGAGTTAGCATTTCCCACGAGTTCATATACAGGTGTGCGTTCGGTTTTCCTGCTGCGAACTCCAGTGAGTTTCGGGTTTCATATGAAAAGGTTCTGGCCCTCGTGGACCGCTTGCCCTGGGAAGCAGTGGTGCACATTAACAGACTGCGTTACTTTGGCCGACTGTTGACTCAGGCCCCCCCCCCTTTTGAGGCACCTACTGAATGCGTGCTTGCTTTCGCGCGATGGGTGGGTCTTGGCCATCTCCCAGAGTCTTGATTGGCTTTCAAAGTTTGTTGACCCCTCTGATATTCCTGAGGGGGGGGGGGCCTTAGACGAATGGGTGGCGGCAGTGCGTTTGGATGTCCGCCGTTTTCGACCCCTGCTGGCGACTACCATCGCAAAATCCAGAACATGGTGGTCCGACCGACACCAGCGATACTTGTGGGAGGAGAGGGTAGCGCAGCACGTCAGGGACACCCGCATGCAGGAGCCAGAGGAGGAGAGAGAGCGGAAGTACCTCTGCTACGAGTGCGGTCAGGTTTTTGTCTCACCCAGGCATTTGAAGGCTCATCGAGGGAAGTTCCACCCGCAAAGGAACGCACCAGCTTGCATGGCCGTTGGCACGGATTGTGGAATATGCAGGTGGGACTTTCGGTCCAACGGACGCCTATACAAACGCTCGGCACGTGCGAAACCTTGCCTTAGGGGTCTGATTGCCGCGGGCGTATGTTATTCGTTGGAGGAGGTGTCCGAGGCCCGTGAAGGCCGCAAGGAAGAACAACAAACAAACCGTGCCAAAGGCCTCACCGACGACTTTGCACATCTCCCTCCAAAGAAGGCGATTGGACCCCCTAGGGGGCCCAGGATCGTACTGGCTGATGTTGTGGTTGATGAACCCCTGGCCCCTGTGGTTGATCCTCCGCCCCCCCCCCGTTCAGTTCTCTCCGCCCCCGCCGCCTGCCCGCCCTTTCCGGCGCATTCTGCTTTTGTTCTCGGGACAAAGGCGAGAGGGGGATGTGCAATTCTGGATAGATAAGTTGATTGAGCAGCACCCTTCCCCCCTTGTTGTTTTGTCTGTTGACATTGTTCACTCCCCACTCTTGGCGATCTGACTGTTCAGAGGGCGATATCTTTTTGGCTTGGTTTAATGACAGACGGCTGGGTGGCCGCCGTGTTTGGAGGGCCCCCTTGCAAAACCTGGAGCGCTGCTCGCAACAACCCGGCTCAGGATGGAGGGCTTTGCTTCAGACCATTTCGCGCTGCAGCCGAACCGTGGGGCTTGGCATATTTCACCCCCAGAGAAAGGACACGAGTGGACACTGCTAACGGGCTGTTGGTTTTTTTGTTTACCGTTGTTATCTAGTTAGGTGTATTGTAGCTCGCTGTTGTGTGTTTTGTTGCGTGTTTGTTTTTTTTGTTGTTTTTGTTTTGTGATTGTGTTTGTTTTTCTGTGTTTTTTGTTTGTTGTTGTTGCTTTTTTTGTTTGTTTCTCACGCACTTTATTGTTTGTTTTTGTGTTTTGTGTTGTTTTTTGTTTTTGGTTGAGGGACATGATTGAGCTTGTCTGGTTGTCGACTGGAAGAGGGGGATTCCCGCTATCATGGAGCACCCTTCTCGAATTGAGCAAAGCGGAGATGGTGCCCCATCGAGTTGGCAGCTTTTTTGTTTTCTTTTTTTTTTTTATCCTTTTTTTTTTCCTTTTTTTTTCCTTTTTTTTCTTTTTTTTTTCCCAGTCTTGACCCGGTTGTGCACCCAGCCAGGAGTGATCTTTCATAGGGTCGACCAGTGTATGTTTGGACGGTCCACCCAGCGACCCGCGGGACTTCTGGCCGTTCACACTCCGTCTATGACCAGAGTACTTAGGGAGCTGACACATCGGGGGAGATGCACTCACAGCGCCCACGCGAGTGCCCTGGAGGGGTTTGGCGATAGTGGAGAGAGGCGCATCCCCAGGGCCAAAACGTATCCTTGGCAGTTTTCCAGATTCTTGGCCGAATGTCTGTTCGAGGATGCCACCCGTGGCTTAACGTTCCTGGAGTTCCCCCGTTGGACCTGCCCGAGGATGTTGCCCCATTTGCTGTGCCTCTGGGCCCATGCTGTCACCTCCAGCACGGGCGGGAGTACCCCCGCACGGCACCTTTCTCATCTCAGACCCCCACGGATGGTGTGCGCGGCACCTAACTCTCGCAGTACCTCTAGTGGTCTTGGCCCCTTTGAGGGAAGGACCCGTGGGCTCTTCATTTCTGATGCCCCCCAAGGGTGTGCGCAGCACCTACTCTTGCCGTAACTTGGGGGGAGTTTTTATGCTGTCGTGCGCGCGGCACTTTAACTCGCAGTATCATAAGGAAGGGGGCCTATGGCTTTTCTCCAGGTGACAGCGCCAGCTAAGTCTGGCTTCCCCTCCCCCACCGTTTTGGTTTTGTTCATCTTGGGTCCAGAGCGCAGTGTCCTGAGTGTCGTGCTGCTGACCCAGATCTACGCCGTCCAGACGGTGGTCGGTGACTCCGACCGTGCCCTCGAGGACAGGGCTTTTAAATCACCCAATAGTGGAGGGTTTGGGCCTTGCACATGGGCGGGGGGGGATTCATGGAATTGCACGTGGAGGACGCGCCGCTGCCGCGATCGCTGCCTCCCCTTTTTCCTCTTGCCTATCGCTGCTCTCTGCTCCAGCTGTGTGGGACTCAGACTCTGTCCCTAAGGCCACGAACGAACGAACGAGCAGGAGGAGGAGGAGGAGGAGGAGGAGGGGGAGGAGGAGGAGGAGGGGGAGGAGGGGGGAGCAGGGAGGAGGAGGAGGAGGAGGCAGGAGGGGAGGAAGTGAGGAGGAGGGGGGGAAGGAGGAGGAGGAGTAGGGAGGAGGAGGAGGAGGAGGAGGAGGAGGAGGAGGAGGAGGAGGATGGGGAGGAGGAGGAGGAGTAGGAGGAGGAGGAGGAGGAGGAGGGGGAGGAGGAGGGCCCACTGCCCCCGTGCGCGCGCCGCGACGACGGGTGCTGCGCAGGCCCTTGGCCGCGCGCGCAGGGGCCTGGGCAGGAGGGAGGGCGCCTTCCCAGGTAGGTCGACCGATTGCCTCGCCACGGTGGCAGGGTTGAATGATATTTTTTTATTAGTTGTTTTGCCGATCGGCGCGGCCCCCCCCCCATGGAGTAGATCTTGGCTGTTTCCTGGCGCCTGTTTCGAGCGCGTGGAGTCTCCCCCAGAGGCCGCACTCGTGCAGACAGTCGCACTAAGCGGAGGTCTGGAGCCAGACCCCCCCCCTTGCCGCCCAAAGCCGAAACGCCGAACAAGAAAGCGCTCACTTTTAGGGGAACGAAAAATTACATGAACATAAAAACTCGGAGGTCCGCGCGGATTTCTCGGATCGGCGCTGGACCGCTCTGGCGGCGCCTCCGGCGCCGCGCCTGGCGCGCTCAGCGCGCCAGGGAGGGGGGTGTCGCGGAGGTGGTGCGGTTGCAAAACTGGCGCGCGCGGGTGTCGACAAGGTGGTGCGCTGGGGGCGATTAGAAGAGTGCTCAGAGGAGCGACGGGAGGTTTTCGGTCGCTTTCGGCCTCCAGGAGCCTACACGGGGCCCCAGGTTCGACAAGAAACGACTCGGGAAGAAAAGCCAGTCCCTGGAAAGGGGTCCAGGCCTTTCGGTGTCCACGTCTTTAGCTTTTCGTTCGCTCTTTCGCCTCAGGATGCTCCGACAGCTGCGCCTCGTCGAGAGCTTCCCGCATCCTCCCGAACGATCGCCGGTGGCCCGAGCTATGACCCGAGAACCACCGGCCGTCCAGGTGGGGCCGATGCATCAGCGATGCGACTTTACTTGGAGTCTGATTCCCTCGCCGACATCGCCGATGCATCGACGATGCATCGACGATGCGTCGCGATCCTCCGACGCCATCCACCCATAATTTTCCAATGGGAGGCCTCTGTCTAGGGTTTCGCGCCCGTCTGGTCTCTGCCCGGTATCGTTTTCTGTTTTGTTTCGCAGGCAGTGGCCAAAATTGGACCCCGCCCACCACAGTGCCAGATCCGCTCGAGGCACGCCGCCGCGCGTGCCAGCACTCGCGGGAAGCGCGCCTCGAACGGCTCTGGTGCACGGTCTCGGCGGCGACCTTCTGAGAAGGCGGGGAGGGTCTCCTGGAATGCAGCGGTTCTCTCAGGAGGCCCCGGCGGCCTCTGAGAAGGCTTCGCGGAAGCCGTGCGGGCTTCCGAGAAGCCGCCTTGCCGCCCCTCCTCGTCCTCGTCCTCGTCCTCGTCGTCCTTGTCCTCGTCCTCGTCCTCGTCGTCGTCGTCGTCGTCGTCCTTCTCTTTCTCCTTCTCCTCCTCCTCCTCCTCCTCCTCCTCCTCCTCCTCGTCCTGCCTTCTCCGAGGCCCCGGTTTCTTGTCAGGAAGCCCCCCCCCCCGCCGCACCTTCGTGGGCGCCGCCAGTGGTGGGCGTCGTCCGGCGAGAGCTGTGCGCATCGTGCAGACGCCGCCGCACCGCGTGGGCCCCGCATCGGAGTGTCCGAGGTGATCCCTTCGGCGCGGGGAACTTTTTTATGTTGTTTGTTTCTACGCCCCCTGGCGGAGGCTCAGCCATCACCTTCATCCTCACAGGCGTGTTGCTGAAGGACATCTTGATAGTCTTAGCTGGGTCCATACTCTTAGGCCACAGCCCGCGCAGCCTGACTGCCTGATCGACCAGGGGGGAGGATAGGGAGGGGTAGGGACGGAAAACGGAGGGGAGGGAGGAAGGGTGGCAGGCAGAGGAGGAGGAGGGAGACGAGAGCAGAGGGGAGGGAGGTGTGTGGAAGGAGGAAGAACAGGGTGAAGGGGATGGAGCAAGGGAAGGGCAGGAGGAGGAGGAGGAGGAGGAGGAGGATGGAGGAGGAGTGAGGAGGATGAAGAACACTAGCAGGAGGAGGAGGAGGAGGAGGAGGAGGAGGAGGAGGAGGTCGAGGAGGGGGAGGAGGGGGAGGGGCGAGGGGGGGGAGGAGGGGGAGGGACGAGGAATGAGAGAAATGGGGTAGGAAGCGGAGGAGGAGGAGGAGGAGGAGGAGGAGGAGAAGGATTAGCAGGAACAGGAGCAGGACCAGGAGCAGGAGCAGGAATAGTAATTACGCTACCGAGGAACCCCACATACTTATTTTATGTCACGTGTGTTCACAAACCATATCACATCCCGCTTCGCCATTCTGACGAGCCAGACTGACCAGACCAGCCAGATCAGCCAGACCAGCCGGACTGACCAGACCAGTCGGCACAGTTGTTCCAGCCATAACCAGCCAAAGTAATCAGACCAGCCAGCCAGGCCAATCAAGCAGAGCAGCCACACAAGCCTGCCGCGAGGGGCGCGCTGGGCCTTCCACGTCTCGCAGAGAGTCGATGCCATGATGATCAGCAGCAGCTCGAAACGTCCAATGCCAGGGGGCGGCGTCGCTCACCTCCCCGTAGAACTTGGCGCTGGCGACGCCGAGCATGTCAGGCTGCAATGCGAACAGACGAAGGGTAGGTACATCCACTCTGTAGGATCCAGCGTTCGTAGAGTACCTGTAAAGCGCCTGCCACAAATCGGCATCGTCGCCCCTCCTCGACGGCAAGTGCTCCGGGTCAGAAGCTCGCTTGGCCGCGAATGCCTTGTACCATGTGACTGCTTTCTTATCCGCTTTCGTCAACAGGTTCTCGAGCTGAACTGATTCTCGCAAACTTTGCGCCCAAGGTACTTCTGCCCAACGGCGGTCCGTCTGAGCCGGCTCAGGGGACAGCTGAATGCGAGGGGTGCCTGTAGAACGAACAGGAGTAGCAAGCAAAATTGCCGGGGAACGCTGAGGCGTGAAGACCTGCATGGGCGTGGACTTGATGGGCGTGTCCTGCGCGGGCGTGGCACCGCCCCCGTCGCCAGCATCGCCGACTCGCCGAACTTTCGCCAACGGCGACCCATCACCCTCTTCCGACACTCCTGGCTGATCAGCTGGGAACCCGCCGGATGAAGGGTTCAGCAGGTACCTTACCAAGCACAGCCTCCTGGTATCGTCGCCCCCGCCTTGATGGAGCAGCTCATCGTACCTCTTGGGAAGCGTATCGGGCCACCAATTATGCAGCTGTCGACGGTAAGAGTTAAATGCGTGTTTCACCAGAGATGCCTCGCAACTGCGCAAATTGACAATGCTAACCTCGACACCTGCGTTTGTCATGGACTCCTGCAGCTTCACACACGGAGGCGGCAGTGCGTCAATGGGACATTTGGGCGGCATGCGCGGCGCGGGGGTGCAATTTTCGGGCCAGGATGTCTACAGTTCCGGCTGCCTCGCATGCCGCGCTTTCCCGCCCTGGCACGCATGTGGGGCCGCGCTGAGGGACCATCCCCTGCGCACCCACGGCGTTGACTCTGCCACGCATAAAGGACACCCCCCTCTGCGGACCCCCTCAAATGTCGAGAAGGTGCCGCGCCTGCCATGCTGTCCGCCCCTGGCACGCATAGAGGCCGCGCTGAGAGACCGCTCCCTGCGCACCCTCTCTGGTGTCATGGAAATGCACCAAATGCAACGCCTGCTACGCTGTCACGCTCTCCGACCCTGGCACGCATAGACGCCGCGGTGAGCGACCACCCCCTGCGCACCCCCCCTGGTGTCGAGAAAGTGCCACGCCTGCCACGCTCTCCGACCCTGGCACGCATAGACGCCGCGGTGAGAGACCACCCCCTGCGCACCCTCTCTGGTGCAACGAAAGTGCCACGCCTGCCACGCTCTCCGACCCTGCCACGCATAGGGGCCGCGGTGAGAGACCACCCCCTACGCACCCCCCTCTGGTGTCGAGAAAGTGCCACGCCTGCCACGCTCTCCGACCCTGGCACGCATAGACGCCGCAGTGAGAGACCACCCCTGCGCACCCTCTCTGGTGTCGAGAAAATGCCGCGCAAGCCACGATCTCCGACCCTGGCACGCGTAAAGGCCGCGGTGAGAGACCACCCCCTGCGCACCCCCCCTGGTGTCGAGAAAGTGCCACGCCTGCCACGCTCTCCGACCCTGGCTCGCATAGACGCCGCGGTGAGAGACCACCCCTGCGCACCCTCTCTGGTGTCGAGAAAATGCCACGCCGGCCACGCTCTCCGACCCTGGAACGCGACAAGGCAGCGGTGAGAGACCACCCCCTGCGCACCCACTCTGGTGTCGAGAAAGTGCCACGCCTGCCACGCTCTCCGACCCTGGCACGCATAGGGGCCGCGGTGAGAGACCACCCCCTACGCACACCCCCTCGTGTCGAGAAAGTGCCACGCCTGCCACGTTCTCCGACCCTGGCACGCATAGACGCCGCGGTGAGAGACCATCCCCTGCGCACCCCCCCTGGTGTCGAGAAAGTGCCACGCCTGCCGCGCTCTTCGACCCTGGCACGCATAGAAGGCCGCGGTGAGAGACGCACCCCCTGCTCACGCCCCCTGGCTTCGAGAAAGTGCCACGCCTGCCGCGCCTCCGACCCTGGCACGCATTAGAAAACCCCCCGCGCGGTGAGAGCCACCCCCTCGCACCCTTCCTCGGTGGTCGAAAAGTGTCCAAGCCTGTTCATTGCTCTCCGAACCCTGGACGCTAGAGCCGCGGTGAGAGAACCACCCCGGCGCACCCCTCCTTGGTGTCGAGAAAGTTGCCACGCCTTGCCGCGCCTCTCGACCCTGGCACGTCATAGACGGCCGCGGTGAGCGACCACCCCCTGCGCACCCCCCCCCCCTGGTGTCGAGAAAGTGCCACGCCTGCCGCGCTCTCCGCGAGGTGAGAAAGAAGGAGAAGGAGAGGGAGGAGGAGGAGACGCGGGTGAGACGCGGATGGGAAGAAAACCAGAACCCCACGAAGCATGTGGGGAATGATACTAATAGTTTTCATAATCACAATAATACTATTAATAATAATACGAATTATAATAATAATCAATGATCTACTGAAGAAACGACTATGCCCGTCAGGCAGGGCCGGGGATGCAATGGCGATGATTCAATCGGGCGACAAGCAGTTCGATTATATATTCAAACCTTGGCATTTTTGCACTTAATAAATCAAACAGGGATATCGTCCCAGCTCTCGGATCGCACATCGAGAATCGGAAGCTTCAGGAAATCTGCCCCTCTTCCCAGGGACAGGTATTTCCAGATGCGCGACGCTTGGGAGCTAGATGCACGATGGCGGCCAGCAATCAGTTAGAGGTCTCGATCCGTATTCGGTCTATGGCAGTGGGATGGTGTCAACTTGGGAAGTTCTGGAATTAATGAGGGCTCTGGAAGCTCAAACGAGAATTTTTCTTGGGGAAGGTACTGGAGGTTGGAGTTTCAGGGCTCGAAGCGTTCGTTCTGACGAAAACCGAAGAAACAACGGGACCCCCATTCGGTAAAATACCTCCGTGCCCTTATGCAAGGCAGAGCTAATACGGTGCACGCGGACTCACACATGACCGCCATGAGTAACGTCGAGGTTCTTAAGCATTGGAAGATACTCCCAGTGAGAGCAGAGCGCGCGGCCAGAATAATTAAATGGTTGCAGCCGATGTGTCGTCACCGCGTTGCACACCGACAAACTGTGGTCGCTATATTTGGACATATCCCGAGCGAACCCCCGACGCTAGATGAACACGGGAGGTTAGAAGCTAAAGCGAACCCATGAGCCCATCCGTTCGCTCGGGACTTGAACCTCTTCAGGGACATCAGTGGCGCCGAGACCTTCTGGGAGACCTGGGCCCTGTCGAACGAATCGTGGAAGGACCTCCTCACCCCGAACTCCGAAGCCGAACGAGAATTTCAACGAGTCGATCCAGCTATCCTGAGAGCAGCAGCCCATGCCCCAGGAAGCAGCATATGGACCCGTTTCTATGACCAGCCGAGCGACATGACAGACGCGAGCCCCAAATAATACACATGCGAACTTATCGATCACGAAACTGCGGCGAATTGCGATCCGACTTTCCCCAGCTATCGACAGCTTACTACCCATCAAGCAGCTAGACATAAACTTCGCTTCGCGATCCCGAGCAGCGAGATCACGCACCAGTGCCCGAACTGCTACACGGTTTTGAAAAGCAAGTTGTGCGCCCAAAATCATTTAGTCTTTGCTGATGCCCAGGGCCGATGCACCATGGGAAGGGATACTATGAAATGGCCACTACAAATGGTTTCTGATCTGACATGTTCAATGTGTGACGCAGCCGTTTCGGACCTGGCCGCCTTGCACGAACACCTTCGGTGGTCTCATTTACCGACGCCACACCCGATCTTGGATTATGCCAGCTCTCCTACAGACAAGCAACCTAGACGCGCCGATGGATAGGGGATTTCAGCGGAGCCAGCGCCAACGCACACAGAAGGACGACGCCGAAGGAAAACAGAAGACCAGGGAGGCGGCAAAAACTCAATTCCCACGCCACACCAAGATGCTGATGTGCCTCGTCGTCAAACAGCTCCTTCGGTGCGCACAGCAGAGCAGGGACATGAGCATCGTGATTTTCGACACTATCCTCAGGAGCGACAGCCCGATTATCCTTCGCATTCAGGAGCAGACGGCGGCGCGCGGAAAAATAACAAAGCAGAAAGGAAACGCACCGCGACATGGGCCCGCCGCAGATATACGCGATGGGAGGACTACTGGCAGCGGTATTGGCTCTGGCTTTGGACGACCCTCTGAAGCAGGTGGTGCAAACGATGTACACGGACTAC